CTCCTCCTCCTCCTCCTCCTCCTCCTCCTCCTCCTCCTCCTCATTCTTCAGAACTGAGGGTTGAATCTCGGGTCTTTGCACATGCTAGGCATCCACTCTACTTTTACCTGAGCTGTACCTTTAAAACAATTCTAAAAATGTTGCATGTATGATATACATGTGAGTACAGGTATGCACATACCACTGGGTGCGTGTAGAGATCAGAGGGCAACCTTGAGTATCAACCTTCCACCCCATTTGAGACAGGGCTTCCTGTTTCCTGCAGCATACAGTAACTTAGCTGGCCTGCAAACTTCTGGGAATTGTTTCTCTGTCTCTCATCTCCCCATCGGAGCACTGGGACAACAGATTGACGGATGAGACTGGTTTTCAATGAGATCTATCTAAGCTCAGGTCTCATGCTTACATGACAAGCCATCTCCCCAGTCCCACTTCTCTTTCATTTTTCACTTTTTTGTCTTGAGACAGAGTGCCACCAGTTTGTCCAGACTGGTCTTGACCTTGACCTATAGCATAGTCAACAATTAAGCATGCACTCTTCCTGCCATAGCCTATCACAGGGCTGGGATTCGAAGCCAGAGCCACTCGAGTCCAGATCACTAAGCCCTTTTATAAGGGCATCTAATCCCACTCATGACTCAATCTGCTCTTACAGGCCATGACTTTTACTATTGTTCTGGGATTTTTCAACATCAATTTCGAAGAGAACAGACATAATTCCAAATACAATATAATGTGAGTATTGTATACAGAGTCCACTGCTGGGCAGTGAGTGGATGTGACGAATTATTTGGAATGAAAGTGGGTAGGTACAAATGACTAGCTTGTAGCAGCTGTTAGGATGCATAGCAGCCTGTGATAGGCCTCATTATGAAACACCTGTGATATACCATTTGGTGTACTGGACTGCTTAATTTATCCCACATAGCAACCACTAAAGTAGGTGATGTTTTCTATTTTTTATACCTGCAAGAGATGCTTAGGGCAACTATGTGTAACTTTTTCAAGATCCCAAAGCTATTTAGGCACAAGTAAACAGGCCAGGAAGAACCCACTGGTAACTCGTCATTGTGATTACCATCAATTTTATTGTAGTATTCAGCACCATTCTGTACAAAATAAACACAGGCTATGATCAAAAACAGCAGAAACAACAGCAGAAAGCCACAATTATTTACAAACACTCTGCTGCAGTTTAGCTGGGATCAAATGGCACTCATAAAATAACTATAGAATAGTTGCTAAGTGGGCTGGAGAGATGGCTCTGAGGCTGTTCTTCCAGAGGTCCTGAGTTCAATTCTCAGCAACCACACGGTGGCTCACAATCTCTGTTATGAGATCTGGTGGCCCTTTCTGGCCTTCAGGCATACATGCCGACACAACACTGTATGCATAATAAATAAATAAATCTTAAAAAAAATAGTTGTTAGGCACATGGGAGGCCACCCTAGGGCTATTTGTGGGAAGGGGAAAGGTGATGTATGGATAAGTACAGTAAACAGAATGATTGGAATAAATGGACAGAGTTCATCCCAGAAGCATAAAACACAGCACTGTTTGCTAGAACAAGAGTAGAATACAGGCTCATCTCATAAGAGATCTTATAGAGGCAGATTATCCATATTCCTATTGCAGCTGTGTTGTAATTGTTGCTTAGAATGGGGATGTGAATGGGGTGTGGTGAGTATATACAAGTATATACAAGTAAGAAATGAGAGAGGACTGTTGCATGACCAGTGGTAAAAACCGGAGTTACGATTTATTGCACACTCTACACCTTTGGTAAAAAGTGAGAAGAACATTTTTTTTTGGAAGGGGGTGACACCCAGTTCCCAAATAAACACATGGAGACTTATTATTAATGCCCAGCCTTACCTTTGATTGCTTTGATTGTTTCCAGTCAGCTTTTCTAACTGAACTTAAATTATCCCATTTCTCTTTAACTACATTTTGCCTCTGGGCTTTTTACCTTTCTTTATTCTATATATCTTTGTTTCTTTCTTACTCCATGACTGGCTGTGTGGCTGGGTGGCCAGGCCCGTGGCATCCTCCTCTCTGTCTCCTTTTCTCACTGGTCCCTCTCTTTTTCTTCTCCTATCTATTCTCTCTGCATGCCAGCCCCACCTACCCCTTTCCTGCCTAGCTATTGGCTGTTCAGCTCTTTATTAGATCAGTCAGGTGTTTTAGGCAGGCAAAGTAACACAGCTTTACAGAGTTAAACAAATGCAACACATCTTTGCATCACTAAACAAAAATTCCACAGCATAAACGAATGTAACTATCTTCAACTAATATTCCACAATACTAGCATGCAAGAAATAATAGCATATATGACATATGTTAGGAAAATACATCATTGTAGAAGAATAATGTTGAAGTTGTGGCATGATTGTTCTAGTCATCTTGAAGGAAGGGAATAGAGACAGATAAAGAGTAGGTCAGGGTATCAGAGGTGTTTGCTTTCTGTTCCTGTGACAAACATCAAAACCCAAAGCAACTTAATGGATAAAAGGCTTTACTTCATCTTATTTCCAGGTCAGCATCCATCATTGAAGGAAGTCAGGGCAGGAACTGAAGTAGAGACCATGGAGAAGTGCTGCTTACTGGTCTACCCTCTGGCTCATGCTTAGCTAGCTTTGTTATACAGCCCAGATCCACGTGCTTAGGGATGTGTTGCCCACACTATCCTGGGCCCTTCCACACTGATTGTTAGTCAAGAGTCTCTTACAGACATAGCCAGGCCATAGGCTAATTTTATGGAGGCAATTCTTCAGTTGAGGGTTTCTCTTCCCAGAGATGTATATAGGCTGATGATAGATTGTATCAAGTGGACAAAAAACCACACAAAACAAGACAAAACAAAAACAAACAGCAAAGCGAACAAAAATAAAACAAACAAAACCTAACCAGGACAGGAGGATTATTTTGTCCTCAGTGCTTGGCTGGTATTGTGCCAGTTGTATTTGCAGTGTGTGAAGCAGATGTTGGGCAGGCATTCCTTGCCTCCAGAGAATAGAGTAGGAGAGGCTTGAAAAGAGCAATGTGGTCAGTTTCCAGCGCTCTTTCTAGGAATGTAGTGTCCCGAGCGATTGTCTTGCCGGCAAGAACGACACAGGACACTCGGATCCTTCTGCAGTAAAGCTTTAATGCCTCTTGAGAGGAAGAGCATAAGCTTACAAAAGCGGAGACCCCGAGCCAAGAATCCCGTCCCCTAATAAAGGCTGGCAACCGCCGCCTGGGACGTGTCACCCTATGATTGGCTGCAGCTCATAGGACCATATGACGCCACGGAAGAGGCAGAGATCAAGGAATGGAAAGTTACCCAGCGCCTGCGCGCATTAACTTTACATTCAGTGCCTGCCAGATGCAGGCGCCATCTTGTAATGGAGAATGCAGGGACGGCTCCCTACAATGTAGGATTGAAGAACACAGTGTTCATTTTGTTAAATACAGCCTAGAGTTGCAAACCCAAGTGATTAGCCTACTTTTTCCTTCTCACTTCCAGGTGTATGTGCTGCACAGAACTGACACATTTACAAATCATTACCATTTAGAAAATAATTTCACTTGCACAACTGAGGGTCAACCCCAGTGACTAGCTATACCAGCAAATGCTCCAAGATTTGTTCCCTGACTCCCCACAAAGCCCAAACAGTTATCTTTCATGGTTTTTTGAAATGAAGGAAAGGACTCACTGGTCCATCCATGAAAGCAAGCCATGATTGTTTTTATGCAAAGGGACAAACTGGCAACATGTGAGACATATAAGTTGCCACTTTTAGGATTAGTTTGCATAATATTGGTTACACCAGTTAGCGACTTGAGACCACAGTTGCAAACTGCTAGTCAAAGGCAGATTTATAATCATTACCAAATATTTCTACCCTCCCCCCAACTGAGGTACAATTAATATACCACACTGAACATAGATGAAGTGTTCACTGGGGAAGATCTGACCTATAGGTACACCTGCTGGGCTGGAGAGAGGGCTCACCAGTTAGTATTGGTTGTACTTCCACAGAACCTGGCTCAGATCCCAGTACCCCCATGGTGGCTCACCACAGTCTGTGACTCCAGTTCCGGGGATCAGATGCCCTCTTCTGGCTTCTGGAAGTATGTGATGCACTTACATGCAGGCAGAACACTCAAGCACATAAAATAATAACAAATCTTGAAAGGCCACCTGCAATGCTATGACTACATTAAGAGGGCTAATTTACCCATCAACCTGTGAGGTTCTGCTGTGCGCTTGTGAATGGTTTCTAGTGGAGGCCCAATGCGGGAACATTGAGACATATTGTTATTTGAGTAAGAGATTTATTAAAAGCATTCTTCATTCCATAAACAGACAAGACAATGTCGAAGGCTCCTTGAAAAAGAAAAAAGCCAATGGGGCACATTTCTTATACATTTAAGAGGAAGGGAGAGGTTATATATATGTATATCACATGACTGATGAGTAGTCCATTGTACATGCTTTGTAGTAAAGCTGTCTGTGATTCCTGTCTGGTGGGAGGTTGAAGGTTCATAAAGGGGATGGGGCTTGTCAGCCTGCAG